ATTAACAAAACCAAAGCTACGCTATAAACACACATTCTCTGATATTTTTACGGAGAATAGATAACTCAAACGAGTTCACTCGACCAGTTTTATCATCTCGCTCATAGCTGTGAGAAGGTATGTATAATTTGCCATAGGTTTACCTTGTAATGGGGAATAAAAAATTCAAGTAATATAATTATTTCACAAACACAAATATGTCTGTGTGAAGTAAAATACAAATACGATGCGTTCTATAATATTTTTGGAGTTATGGTATGAAATATCAGCTTTAAAAAAGCAATTTAATTATGATGTATCATGTGGATTAGTAGACGTTCTGATTGGATTCATTGAACAGACTGGCTAGGTTTCAATTGAATCATTTTGAATGTGTGTATTTTTAATATTTTAATCCACAGTATCGAAAACAATAATAATGCTATATTGGTAATTGGAAAAATTCCACTTACCACGATTTCAAAAAATTGTAAATAGATAATACTATTCTTCAGTGATGGTCATTTGTTTCAAGGAATCTGGAGGCTCGTTCAGCTGAGCTGACAAAATCATCAAGATTTATGGATGGTCCATCTGTTGGCTGCTCATTGTCACCTTCAAGGAATGTTAATGGCTCTGAAACTGGTAGCCGTGCCCAAGTCGGTATTTATTTACTTATCTGATCTTGAATTATTACCACCTTGTACAATCCAATGTATCATCGCTGATATTATGCTAAGTTATTCAGCGGTTCCGAGATTCCCATAATAACTAGGCTACCTAAGGGTATCGCAAAACCATATTGATTGACAATATGGACATGGACACAACGTGTGACTTCAGGCTGATTGACCAATCAAAACGTTATCAGGTTGACCTGCATAAAAAAAGCAAACTACCCGTCTAGGACTTGAAATTCAATGATCTGATCGAGTGTTTCTTGAGAGTTACAATATATTATGTTATTAAATGTACATTGGAATGTAAGCAGTCATTAATACTCGTCTAAATGAAATCATGCAATTCAATGTTGATTCAAAATCAAAACTGAATTCGCGATGGAAATGCACGAAGACCTAGTCCGGCAATGTAGGGCCGTCGTTGATTTGTCAAATTTTACCGACAAAAACATTGGGTCGGTAAAGCACATGGCTTTCTCTTGGGTACAAGGCGGTCATAATAGAAATCAAAATAAGTAAAATAGACCGACTTTGGCAAGGCTATGAAACTTGATTTGTGGGTATTCCAGTCGGTCGATGGGTCTTTTGCTCTGAATTCACTTCATTAGGGTACCTAATTTCAACATGTTCATTGTCATCATTACATGTTATAGACCCGTTTTTCAAATTAACAGTATCAGCGATAAAACCATAGTTTTTGGCTCACACAGTGAGACTATGGGATCGACCAGGCGTCCGTCCGTTGGTCCGTCCGTCTGTCAACATTGGCTGCACAAATTAAAACTGCTATTCGGATTGAGTCATTTCCACATTCATTTTATGCATATCCATAATGTCTATTTGACCTATCATCGCTATTTCCGAAGTTCGCCCGGTTTCCGAGAAATTGCTGATTTTTAAATTTCGAGAAAAATCGATCTGATGATAGCCTTATAGAAAGTAAAGAGAAGTGAAGAAAAGATTGAAAAAATACCAGTCCAGTCCATTTCCAGGTCCAAGTTCAGGTCCAGGTCCAAGTCAAGGTCCAGTTCAGGTCCAAGTCCAGATCTGGGTGTAATCAGGTTTAAACCAGGTCAAAGGTCAAGAACTAGGTCAAATCCAGTACTTTGTCATTTTTTTCAATTTTCTCAGTCGTCCTTGAATATTTTTGCTCCGTTTTTTTAATCATGTTCCTTTGAAAAAAGCTAATCCCTACAGGCAAGTTGTTTTTGATCACTCTTACCGTTTTTGAGATATGGCATCCGAAAAGTAGGTCACAATAAAAAGTTCTTGGAATTCAATGTATAAGTTATGAAATATGTGTAAAATTGTCCAAGGAATCCGAATCTGCAAACCAGATTTTGATCCGACTTCCGGTTCGGAAGTTATGGCATTTTGAAATCTCAAAAATCGCTATTTTGGTATCCCATGTTAAGTCAAGGGGCTTGAGAAAATTATCAATTGTAACAACACAACACTAGAAACAGCTTGGATGCAGCCAACTTAATAAGAATCTACAATAGAAGTCGTCCCTTAAAATCTAATTTCTTGCAAAATTTGAACACTAAAAGGCCTAGGTCAAAATCTAGGTCAAATTCATAGTTTTTCTTTTGACTACAACAAATCATATCTGAACCAACAACAAAGAACTCATCTTTAATTGATCTCATATTTACCAATACTTTTGTTTGTAAATCAGGATATAAATTCCTATGTAGGTTCTACACTGTGTGAGCACAGGACCGTGGGTCCTTTATTTCATCTGTAATGGCATTTTCCAGTTGATGGGTTTATATATAGTATTTTCAATTTTTCATGAGGGTGCCTTTAGACTACTTGTAATGGGGTGGCTAATTACTTTACTGAATGAGGAATGTTTATCCAAACAATGGATACAAAGAAAATCTGGCCAGTTGTCCATCAGTATATAAATCATCATGATAAAAGTATAATTTATTAAAGCATCCATTTGTTACCGTTCTGAATCCAAATGATACATAGGTGCATCCATTTTATACATATATGTTGACGTTTACGAAATGTTTTTCAAATATCTTCCCTATAACAGGAATATGGTAGCTGAAACTTTCACACATTGTCATACTATGTATATTGAATATGTGTGCAAGATTTCAAGTCACAATGTTAAGTAGAAACTCTGAGATCACTTACCTCGATTTGCTGTCATATTTTTGCAATGATCCCATTCCCTATAATGTACGCGAGTACCCACGATACATTACATATAAATGACTGCATCCACATAGATCGACTAGCCACAGTGAGTAGGTCTTTAGATCAAAGGTATAAAGTTATTTGAATACAAGTTACAGACGTGTCGCAAAAAGCTCGCGCACGCATTGTTACACATTTTGTGGCGTAATCCAGAGGATCCTCGCTTTTAACATGATAGAATGTGACGTTTTTGAGAAAAATGTACACACATGAAAATCCTTTCGTCCTCCACATTTACCTCTATATCTCTAAACATTTTAGACGAATAACTCTGATATCATATATATATTGTTAATGGGCTAGGAGCATCATAAAACACGAATCAATTGATATTTTAGGGGAAATAAATATACGTGTTGCTGTGCTTGAAAATAGGCGAATGGCGTAAATTAGCCCTATTTTAATGAATTTTGAAAACCTTTCGTCCTCCACTTTTCCACATACAACAGAAAAAACATACTTTTGTGAACAAAATCAACTATTTATTAATAAACTAGGGTTTAGGAGCAAAATAATCCTGTATGATTCATTAAAAATTGATCTCGTATTTTTTGTTTAATGTACACCTGAAAAGTTGAAGGTACCAAAAATGAGCCAAAAATGTCGCTGTCAACAGATTCTATTTTTCAGACTTTATGACGTCACAATATGGGACGCTTACTAAAATTCATCCTTTGAAATAAAACTTCCATCTACCTTTATCGAGACGAAAAATAAGTATAATAGTCATATATTGTTTGAGTTATGAGCGTTTAAAGACGAAAAATAATTCAAAATGTAACGTGTCAACATGGGATATTTGCCAGATGTTTTGGTAAAAAACTATTTTTTAAACGAACGCGCAAAAAATGTGAACGGAGTGTAGTTGATCTAAAATCTTCATCGAAACAGCTTTAAAGGAATATTCCTTGCCAAACCATCTCTCTCCTAATATGGTAGCTATAACCATATATATGCTTGCCATGTTTAGCAAAACACGCAAAAATGTTTTGATATGGTCAAATTTGATCACTTAGAAATGTGATGCTCAATTCCAGTAAGCTGCCATCTTTTAAAATTTCACACAGGAAGTGATGTCATCGACTCTCAACTTTGCATATAGCATTAGGTGAGGAGCTATTAAGAATTACAAAACCAGCTAAATATTCTTTTTCAACTTTGTATCTTATTTAATCCTTCTGAAAATCTCTTCTTTTATTCTAAGTTGACAAGCCCTGAAAATATTTTTGCACAGAAAGTAATGATCACTTGTGTAGTAGTGATTTTGTGCTACTTTCCTATACTGTTATGGGCAAGGTTATAGAAGTTGAGAGTTGATGACATCACTTCCTGCAAGAAATCTTAAAAGATGGCAGCTCACTGGAAATAAGCACTAGATTTTTAAATGATCAATATTGACCATATTAAAACATTTTCCCATGTTTTGCTAAATATGGAAACTATATATATGATTAAAGCTACCATATCAAGAGAGAAAGGGTCGGGCAAGGAATGTTCCTTTAAAATGATATATAACTTTAATTAGAATATTATCTTATAATCCGGGGAATCAAAGTTACATTCACGCGATGCCCTTAAAAAACAAATGCGCCACCTTTTTGCGACACGTCACATAAAAAATTAATTTGTTTGATCATGTTGATTTGTTTTTAAAATATAAATATAAAGTCACCTAATATAAAGTATGAAATTTTGTCTTCTGTTAAATTTTTTCTAGCAATGTGTTAAAATCATTATTGAAACCGCTTAAATTAGCATTTGGTGGTTTATAAATACCAGGAACCAGGATGTTTTATCAGATATTTGCTCAATTTGGCTCAATGCATAAGTACTAGTTTTCTAGAAGGCCTAAATTTCACTATATTGACTTGAGCAATAGTGGCGTGCCATAGTGGTCATTTAATGAGTTCATAGTTTTAGGTAGTGATAGCCCCATTTCAGCGGGCAACATAATGAAATCACTATGTTGCCCATGTTAATTGCTATATTCTTCTCAAAGAAGCATTTTGATTATAAATATTTCTATGTTGTTTTATTTTATGCGAGCCGTAAGATTTTTAAAAACTTATATCACAATAACTCTGCATCTCAACTGAAACACATTGAACATAAATATACATGCTATTTGTGCTCTTATATTAATTAGAATATTTCTACATTAAAGGAATCATCGTGTTTTCCCGGATCTGTTCATTTGCAGCCATACATCTTCTTGATCTCAGCGACGTCAGTCTTAGACAACGAGTCTCTCTGACCAATCTTTACTCCCTTCTTGAGAGGTTCGATTGTTGGTTTTCCATTCTTCGAAAAGAAAGTGGGTCCGTACATCATGATACTGTCATAATCAAATGGTCCCATTGTGTCGCTTTCCTGTTTTTTAAACTGCTCTTCTTTGCCTGCACGATGATTAACATACAAGTGTCAAAAATGCATCGAAATCATAACATTCCAAAGCGTAATCTCAGACACGAACAAACAATGATAAAACCACCTCCCAAAACTTTTCAGGAACGATTATGTTTAAAAAAAACTTCAAACCTTTGGTACTTGATGAATAATGGTTGTTTAATTAAAAGAGTATATTAGTTAAGAGAGTATACTAAATTATATATCAATATAGGTATATCTACTTAATTTATTTCCGCTAAATAAACAGCGAGGGACTTGGTTGTTATATTGTTTGGCATTTCCAAATAAGCGGATTTCTAAGTAAGCACAATCGAATTTGCAAGGGATGCATTTTGATGGGTGGAGTAGGATGGACTTAAAGTGAGTAAAAGGTGTCTTTAATAACTAACTAACCAGGTTGAATATTTTGTGTGTTGATCTTGATGTACTTGTCCCTATCCTTGTGTGTATGCTCGTGCCAGAATCCCAATGCATGGACAAGTTCATGAACAACCGTACCAAACTAAGTACAAGTATAAAAGCATACAATTATAAATACACAATTTGATAACATAGCACTGGGAATCTGGGACTCAAGAATTTATTGCTGAAAAAATGAAAGCAGAAGTCTTCATAACATATATTTTCAAGAAGATTTTCCACAACGGGAAAAAATACAGAACAAAAATAACTTTCAGTAAAAATAGCCATACATGAGGTCTAAAAGTGTTAACTGTTCAAGAAAAGTATTTGGCCCTTTATAATTTGTAAATTCCTCCATTGAATAAAGAATGAGACATTGAAAGCTAATTCATATGATCAGGAGACAAGTAGATATTAATGTTTTTGCGTAAAACTCACTTTGTAAACACACCCTGGCTCCGATAGAGAAACGTCTGCTGGACCATAATCATACTGCATTCCAATGTAAGACCAGCAACTGTTGATTAAAAATTGAAGCATGATTGGACCAAGAAAAGGAAACATATTATTTGTTTATGTCCTTCAACAAGGAATAACAACAGTTTTTTCAAGTTTCTTCAGAATTCAAATACCGTATAAGTGGTAATTTTGCCTAATCATTTTATTTGCCTATTTCCTAATTTTTGCCAGGTTCGGAAAATTAAATGTCGGAAATATTGTCTTTATAATGTTATCCAATGGGAGGTTTCTTGTCATTAGGAAAATTAAAATTAGGAAAATGATGAAATTTGACCATTCGGAAAATTAACCACTCGGATTAAATACCACTTATACAACACTTATCCAACACACGTTAACTACCTTAACTAAAATTAAATACTGTAAGACATACCCTCCAAGTTTGTTAGAAAAGTCCAAATAGTCACGTTCGCTTTTCCTCTCGGCAAATTTGATGCACCCACCAGTCTTTGAAGTGATATGCTTCATTGCGTCGAGAATGGCTTTCTTACCGGATGAGCCTACGATTAGTTAAATTAAATAGAAATGTATCCAGATCTTAGCTAAACGATGAGATTATAATACTAGGAGGCTTTAGTAAATGGGTAAATCCTGAGCAAAATATGAGATACATTGCCCATTTCTTTTGCAAAAATCATCTACAAGTTCTTAGAAGTTCAAATCTGACTTGAGATTTCATCTTTGGTTGACCTTCAGTGAATTTCGAAAGGTCAAAAAGTTGATTTTTCGGACATTGTCATTTTCAGGGTACTTTCTCATGTATAAGATCAATGTCAGGTTTTAGTAACTAACTCATGTAATTTTGACAAAATTGTGTTTTGTACGAAGTGTATAATCCTTTCTAAACATAATGAATCGAAGTTCGGTTCAAAGTGGTTATAATTCACTAAGTGAGTACAGGGTCGTGGCTTTTTATTCTATATGTACATTAATTTCAAAACTTCAAATTCGAAATCTTTAAAAAAAAATTCTTAAAAAACTAATGAAAAAATCGTATTCAAAACTTCAAAGGTGAACTTTTTCAAAAAACAACTTTTCAACACAACAACAAAGTTTGATACATATGATATCTTACATCCATATGATTTCAAACTTTCACTTACTAAATGTTGTGTGGAATGTATAAGCAACCTTGCCACCTGGCCATTTCCTGGTCCAATGTTCGAATTTAAATGCATTCTTGAACTGAAATATATATACATATATAAATATACATAGTTATCATGATCAGATATGAATTGGTGGTCCCATATCAAATTATTTAGGACAGCGATTGGGTTGACGCGAAAGCTTGCAGCTTCCGGAATGCACGGCGAGCACAAGAGGGGGAGAAACCCCAGGGTTCAAAGCTGACGTACGTCTATAATGTAAATCTATATTGCGATGACCACTTGTCTTGATTGGTCCAAATCGTCAAACAAAAATGGCGGATTCAAAATCTAATAACGCTTCAAATAACCAATATCATAGCTTGTTGTTTCACATCAAGATAAAGAAATATGTAAGAAATATGCTTAGATCGATTAAAACATCACAACGACGTGTTATTTTCAAAAACTAACTGGTGAGAATTTGCGCAAACGAAGTTGGTACGCAAGAGACATAATATGTCTGTCATCGCTAAAGCTCTGGGGGTTTCCCTCCTCTTGGTAAGCACTTTTCATAATGAGTTAGCCATCAAATTGCAATATCAACCCGGTATCTGGTAACCGTTATTTGCATTTGTGAATACAAGCTTAGTTAAAATTCTTCCTAGACATTGTACCTTAAATTATAATTATCTTATGTATGAATGACATGTCATTAAGAGTGGCACATGGATAACATTAATTCGTAATGCAGATATCTAGCCCGGATAAAACAGTCAAATTAGGATAAGATACTTTTAATAGTACAGTTTCCATATAGCTTTTGAAATCTCGCTAAATCTCGTTTATCGTGAGATTTTAAGAGATTTGCATATTAGACGTCTAATGACTTACATTTCCTTCTTTTAAATGACATATTTGAATTCAGTTAATGTTTTCTACAAGTATAACTTTGATGTATACATTTATGTTATTTAGATCTTTCTGATTTTTTACACAGATTCAACTAACACTTTTTGATAAATCATGAGATTAAGTCACTATTCCAAGATTTTAACATATTATTAAGTGAATGGCAGTCTGGCCCAAATTAAAAGCTGAATAAAAGATGGCAGCACTAGTTTCCATTGTTTATTCTGCTATTTAGAAACTATCTAATTCTATCGATGGGTTCACCCTTCAAAAATGTATTTATCACACTACTTACTTTAGCTTTCACTTTATCCTTAGGCTGAACCTTGACATCGCCCTCAAGCAAATCTGAATGAAATTAAAATCACTCGAATCAACTTATAATGCTCCAGGTATAATCCAGGGATGGTTACCGAGATATACAGGGTGTCTCAAAAAAGGAAACCGAGATTCAATTGCTTATTTCTTAAATATGAATAATAATAGGAAAATGTCCTATCTACCATCCGATAGGTTATGGTGTCCTCTTTCTTATGATACCAAGGTTGTCTATTTTCCTTCACGGGTGACCGAGTTCTTAGGAATTTAGGTGACAATGCCAGAAATGGGTTTGTGCCACTTTTTCTTTCATGAATGACTGAACAATGAGGGATTAAAATGGCTATGTCAGGATGGTTATTTGGGATTATCTCAAGGATAAAGTCTACACATCATCATCAAGAGACGTTGATGATCTAAGCACCAGGCTTGTTGCAGCAGTGGAGGATCTAAGGGGACAGAGAGACATCATCAGGGATGCAGTATGTGCGATGAGATCTTGGGCAGACATTTGCATCGAAAAGAATGGAAGTCATGCTGAAGGACACTTTTTAAAACAACTTTGAGTTGACATTGAAATTCAAAAGGGGTTTTAATATGATATGAGTAACTTTAATGGGAATAAATGAGTAAAAGAGTAATATCCCAATGTTTGTTGTTACTTATCACCATGTTATGATGGTGAAATTGACTTGGCTGAAAATGCCACAGACCCATTTCTGAAATGGTCATCTGTGGAGGAAAATAGAACATCATGGTATCATATGAAAATGATGATACCTGCGAATTTTCCCTAACATTATTCATCTTTGTGAAATTAGCAATTTAATCTCGGTTTCCTTTTTAAAACACCCTGTGTTGAAACAATTTTGAAAATTCTTTAAACGTTTATCTCAACATTAAATCACAATAAAATATCAAAAATATGATTGAGTCACTTGACAATGAAGTTTTACATTAATCTACTTGGAAATAATCAATAAATTAAGAAAATGAATAAATGCTGGTATCCAGCCCGACCCACACACGTGCTGTCATCTATTGACCAATCCTAGCAAATGGTTGATTGAATGGGTTAGGAGTTTCGAGAAGCGACTTTATCTCATTATCTTATTATCAATCTACATGTAGTTCAATATCATCAAACAACAGCTAGACAAATCTAAGCCCTATATCGAGCAATAATTACTGCGAATAGACTATAGAACTTGAATGATGATATTGAAGTATATACTTTATGAAAAAGACGTTATTTTTTATTATTTACCGTCATCTTTATTGAATTCTTCCACTGGTTCGTCAATTGGCCCTGCTCCCTCCTCTTCCTCTTCGTCAAATTGCTAGTTAAACCAAAAACACTTGGCTATATGAATTTGAGTATATGAATCCATCTTACTTACTTTGTGTATCATATTGTATTGTATATTCAAATGTATTTCATCGCATTGCATTGTACGATATTACATTGTAATGATATTGTATTAAAACTGTTTAACCACATTTTCTCGAAATAAGGGTTTTTTACTTCTATAACCCCGTGTGTTGCATAAGTACAATTACATATTTGACTGTCTTCTTGAACCTCTCGTTTGTTCATTGTCAAGTTAATACATTTCATTTTTTGCTTCACGCACTTTTATGTTTTAAATGTACCTACCTTTATCTGTAAGCCCGCTGTTATGCCGACCATAAAAGCCAACAAAATAATTGTCTTTGGAGACATGGTGTCTGCAAAAGTGGTCCTCGCAATTGAACTTGGAACATCAGTTTCATCTTTTATTCGAATAAACCTCCTGAGATTATCGCATATGGCTCAACTAGTGATTAAATTTACCGATCCCCAAAATATTGAATTCAATCATCAAACAAAAGAGTTAATTATTCAATTTAATTTGAGCATAATCCACATGCTTGGTATATTGCAATTGTTTTGTACATGAAATACAGTATGACATTGCATGAGAGATTGCTAAATAGTATTATGTAGAGAACATTGCTTGAGCGAAACTGACAAAATTATTTTGGAAAATTAAAGGAAATGGAGTTGCTAGTGCAAGTAGCGACTAGCCAGTTATGGACGGTAACGTATTCAACATTGGATATTTAGCGGACGGCTAGTTCTTTCCATGTTATTGTTATCATGGGTAAGAAATGGAATATTGAATTGCCAATATTTGTTTTCAGGACTCAAACCAAATATCTAGCAACATTTCAATTTAGGATTATAAGCATATATGAAAGGAACATATTAGGTGGTTTCCAAAGCTAAGTTAGCTTTGTATGATTGTATGTAGGTTACATTTTTACACCAAGGTTGCTTTTACTATTTTTTGTAGTTTTGAATTTCAAACTCGACAGTTTTCGCTTATTTCATGTTATCCCCGGGTATCAATTTGCAAAGACTACGTTCAAAATATACATAACTGAATCACAGAATGCAACGCTTACATAAATCGTTCATACTTTCATTGATACACAGTAATAGAAAATAATGCACCAACCTAGCTTTCTGTTCCATCGTTTTCAGAGGTGGCGCAACCGCCAGAGTGATCCGCGTCTATACCGCTGTTTTCATATAAGAATATATACTTGTTATACCAGCATTGTTTCGACTTTACAGGTAAATATTTGCTTCAAATTAATATACTATTAACAGATAGGATTATTATTGTAAATTGTGATTTAGATGCAGTTTTATGACCTACCCCTACGTTATGTCTACTCGAATGTGCGGTATTTCTACTCGAATGTGCGAAAACCTGTACTATTAATAGCGGTATCTACACGAAGCCAAGGATTTGATCCCTACCTGTGAAATAGGAGAACTATGATTCAACACGTTCCCCTTGTGTACATTAAAAACAGGACAAAAACATTTAGATGCATGATCAAAGTACCTTCTGTGTCAAATATATATTCCAAATTATATTCATGTCATTAACTATTATTTACAGTTGTACAGCTTCCTGATTTCGGACACATCTGTCTCCGACAATCTGTCCCTTTGGCCGATCGTTGCTCCTGTTTCCAGAGGTTCAATAGTTGGTTTTCCATTCTTCGAGAAGAACATTCTGCCGTACATCATGATACTGCCATAATCGAAAGGAACCAAATCGATAGAGTCTTCTTTCTGAAAGTTCACCTCCTTGCCTGTGCAATAATTACATAAATCCCTTATTAGTGTTGTTAACGATGCATTATACCATAGGTTTCTCTCCCAGACAATCAATGATGTCCTATTGTAATTGCTCATATAATATCTCACATACTATGGATATATCTTGAGAATAACGTTTGGGTATATTATTGCCGAAATATAGGATAGGTTTCTTTATACAAAGAATGTGTGACAATGAGTGATCATGAAATCAATTGTGAATAACCAGTTTATGCATTACCACCAGATTCAGTTTCTAAACACACTATAATGCATTGCATGTGCATTCTTGCTTTGTCCAAAAGATCTGACATTATGATACGGGTGGTCTTTTATTTCAAACTCACCTTCTTTAATGTTTTCTGAGTGTAGTTTGATATACTCATCTCTATCGCTTCGATTATGTTCGTGCCAGAATCCCAATGCATGCACTAGTTCATGAACAATGGTGCCCACCTGACAACAAAAACAGAGTAACTTTTAACTTTGAATATAATTCTATAACTGCAACATATAATACCAATACTGAACAAGAAAAATATAGATATTAGAAGAAATGGACTTTTGGGCAGTACTGTTTTAAGTCACCCTATGTACTTTTGTTATGTGCATTTGAAATGAAACTTTTTACCGAGTGTTTCGACAACTCACTTTGGTCGTACATCCAGGCTCAGTGAGGGAAATATCTGCCGCGCCATAATCATACTGCATACCTATGTACGACCAGCACCTTTAAACGACATTGTTAATGCAATTTGATAATCAAAAATGAGAAATTAGTGTAGACTTTTGAGTATTTTTGTCTTTTAGTCTTCCGTTTTCTATTGGTTTTGCATTTATATTTTATTGCGCAAAAGATGTGTTACAAGCATACCCTCCTAGTTTGTTGGAAAAATTCAAAAAATCACGTTCGGTTTTTCTTTCGGCAAATGTGATGCATCCTCTGGTCGAATCAGTAATGTGTTTCATTGCGGCTAATATAGCTTCTTCACCCTCGGGACCTGACAAAACAATACACGTCTGCTAGTTTAAAGCCTCACTATGCGTATTTCAACCTTTTTTGGCAAACAAAGACTTACTTTTGAACTTCATAGTATTTTCAATATTAATGCAAATCAAGCTTTGTGTCATATTCGAGTGAGAATGTACATACCATGTTTCAATGATTATTTTATCGTTATTCCTTCTAAATTAAGCACAGTGGGCCTTTAAATTAAGACTTATTTTTGTATGCCCGCGGTGCTAGTGAATTGCGTGATATGTTAATGAGGTTTCTCCCCAGGTACAACTAAAAGAACAATATGCCATGCAGTGCAAATTGCATGCGCGTGTGTTTTCAACAAAATAGTTTATCCAAGCGCACCTACACTCACACAACTATTTTGAAAGATACCACGGTCTATTGCAGTGGAACTCCTGCGGTGCACTAGCAACGAGCAGCTGACAAGGTTGTCAGAAAATGGTTTATTTTTAAAATGCTATATAGTACATGGCATGGGTTAAGATATATCATATATGAATCATTCAATTTGAATATTGTTTTTGGCCCACCCTGTATATCAACCATGCATAAAATATGACGTGTATTAATTTATAATCTAATTACTACATAGAATACACGTTCTAGCACTGTTTTACATATTAAACCTCCAATCTCTGATCAACCTTCAATATATTCCCATGTTGTAATTATTGTCAATAATGATGAATCATACGTACTCGTAGTAGGACATTTTCTACTTACTAAACTTAGTGTCGAATCTATAAACAACCTTTCCGTCTGGCCAAATTGTTGTGTATCTGTCAAACTTGAAAGCATTTCTGAACTAAAATGACAATTCATTTGATGGTTATACGTGAAAGTGAATGGAAACAATGAAAACAAAAGCGAATATATTTTTTCTTTTTTTATTGTATTTCTAGCTATTTTAGTATAACAATTACAGCATTAAAGTTATTATACAAACTAGGTAAATGTGACACTAGAAATTACAATGGTTGAATTGTGTACGGGCAGTTATAATCTATATATTCAACACCAAAAAATATACAGAGTATCCGTCGTGATCCTGTGCTGTATCTACAGTTGCCCTTTATTGTATCTGGAAATCCAGAACAACTTGGCGGTCGTTAGATACCTCGGAAAACTTATTATACTAATTGCAAATTCCTGCTATCGTAAGATTTAAAAAATATTATTCAATGCTCTTTTAAATCTATTTTCTGAGCATCATCACTTTAAACATTTATAGAATTTCCATTCTATTGCATAATGATTACTATGGTTATCTGCATCAGTACCACTTACCTGCTATATGGCAGCTCTTAGGAGGTATATAGAAATCAAAACCGATTAAGAAGGGTGAGAAGAGTTCGCGAATCGCTATAATATCCGTTGGTAATTGGGAGCCGTCTCCGAAAACGCATGTGGAAGTAGACAAACTTATTGGGTCAACCCTTCAACTTGAGGCAGGGAGGTCGGATGATGGTAGTAAAATCCGGGTAAAATCCCTTCGAGCTGCACCAAATTAAAAGATAACTTTCAGGTCGCAGGGATTTTACTACTAATTTTGATAACGTCAACTTGAAAATCTCAATTACAGTGTTTCTCCTTGAACCAACTCTTTCGGGGTCTCAGAACGCATTGAATTTAATTTTAATGACAGATGACAAAATATTTTCCCAGATTGACGGCATTACGGCAACGTATATATTTGTGAATATTAAATAGCTAGATGCATAATCAGCACTTCATTTTCTTTCTTTCATTATTCTTTAATCCATGCATACCAGAATAAAATCCAAACTTCAAGATGTTTGAAATTTAGTCAAAAATTGGACCTGTATGTATTAAAATTGATTTAACGTCAAAATTGGACGACAGAATATGTTCACAGACTAGCAATCAATAATGCGCAGTTGTGTTCTGACTTGAAAAAGGTTTAATTCCAGACACCACTGGAAAACTAACGTATCTTACACGTATTATCTTTAAATGATCTAGAAATACCATAATATACAACGCAAGGAAGAGGTTTCTACTAACTGCTGGATGTTGCAACTCCATTTTGAAGAAAATATTTCTATTTTTTATAAAATTTCTTTACATTGCTACTGAGTAACGTCTGAATTTTTTCATCAAGTAAATCGTTATTACTAGTGTTTCAAACTTCGAAGTAGACATCTTATTCACAGATCCGACCAAACTCCATACAAAATTTGAGAAATTATTGATATGCAGACACTTATTCAAAACAGCATTTGTATTATTCAATAGCGAATAGAATCAATTATTCCCAGGGGGAGGAGGATATCACCGACGCGAGAATTCATAGTCTCTTTCATTTTTAGAGTTTTTATACTCACCAAGATTCAATGATTTCACTAATTACGTTTAATTACTTTTACTTGTTTTTCTTCGTATTTTACCCTATATGAACGTCCACATACTGAGAAATTAAGTGTAACGCATAGAACGTCCAAAAATGGACGACAGAATATGTTCACAGACAAATGATCTAGAAACCCCATAATATACAACGCAAAGAAGAGGTTTCAGCTAACTCAGTGCTGGATGTTGCAACTTCATTTGATTTTTTATGAAGATATTGTTTTTAAATAAAATGTCTTTACATTGCTATTGAGTAAATCTTGGATTTTTTTTCATCAAGTAAATCATTATTGCAAGTGTCAAACTTCAAAGTAGATATCTTATTCACAGATCCGACCAAACTCTATACACAATTTTGGGTGTAGAGCTGTCCAGTCGTAATTGGAATTTCTCTGATTCAAGTCCGGGGCCTTGAAAAGTTCATAGTAAGTTTAACGTCCTGTTGGGGTAATCGAAGTGAAAAAAATTAAAAACAAAACCTTCATTTATTGTATTCTATTTAGAGGATGTAATTCAAATGTTGAAATAATATAACACAAACAATTAAATACTTGCTGATAAAATATTTAAGGTTAACATTAACTGTTTGAAGTTGAAATAATTTTATTCGGAATCATAATATTTTGGGCCTTTTACAATGCACAATGACGTCATATCTCCGTAACTTTGCGGACTAAGATACGATTACGATACGGAGTTTGGAGAAATGCAATTCGAAACTCCGCATCTTTCTCGTAACTTTTTAATATTTTACGGAATCGTAACTCTACGCGGGTCCGTAACTTTACGGAGTTTGGAGAAATAGACCCCTGGACCTGTAAATGGTATTTGTAACTCGTTGAATTGACTGGAGGTCAAAACAGAACTCTGTTATTTTTGTTCAAAAAAGTCTAAAAATGTCAATTTTTTCCTGTTTTTTCATTTCCTGTTCACTTCCACAGCACCTTAATGATATTGTGCAACAAAAGGAAAAGTTTCCTTATCTTGCTCCTTGATTTGAGAAGAGCAGTTTGTTGAATTATTCATTATCTTCATATTTTCCTGCCCTAAACATCAATTGGGATAGTTTCACAGTCTTATGCCTTGGTCACATTTGCTCCGATTTTCACTACGGCGCCCGGCCGATTGAGTATTATATTCAAAACTAAATACAATTTTGAATAAAATACTCAATCGGCCGGGCGCCGGCCGATGAATCGGAGGAAATGTGACACAGGCATAAGATATCATCAAACTTCTCATTTTAGTAGTCACAGTCGGTCCGACCTTTAAAAATGGTGTATTTGATCCCTGTTGTGTTAAATTCATGATTGATTGATTGTGATGACAAAAGCTAATATCAATACAATGTGAAAATACAATGTGTGTTATGCATTACTGAATAATTACAGAATAACATGTAATTGATAATTGATTCAAAGTGCCCCATATAGTAGTAGATAACAAATATGGAGATATGTGTTACGCGGAATATGGCATATGTTCATGGTTGCACGGTATTTCTAGTGTTTGTGATATGGGTCAATATGCCATACTCACTTGTGGTATATGTATGTATATGCCATATACCGCGGGTGATTATGACATATATCGCAAACTTGCACAAATCGGGTAACAATTTGGTCAATGTCAGTTTGGGGATGTTCTTTCGACTACTTTAATTGAATTGTGTAATGATTGTTTTATTAAAACTAAATGAAAAATGTATTCTAGAATATACCAATTACAATTTCCTTACTTTTCCTTTCGCCGACGCTTCGATTACTCGTGTTTTAATATCTGCTTCCATCAAATCTGTAAAAGGAACATTATGCTTTTATCTTAATAGCCCGGATAGAGATCCGGATGAAGTAAAGCACTGTATTCTATGTCATCTAGGACGAGTCGACTGTCCCCAAAACAGCCTTATTGTTAAGTTGGTAACCGTACAGCTCATCCCCTAGACGACTCATCCCTGGACAACTCATCCCCTAGACATCTCATCCCCTGGACAGATCATCCCCTAGACCACTCATCCCCCGGACAACCCAACGCTTAGACAACTCGATCATCCCCTGGACGACTCATCCTGTGGCATGTCTGGGTAATTCAGTGTTATATTATCAATTCATATTTGATGTTCAAATCATTTTTAAATGTTTTGGTTATGAATATCAGAGAATCAGTTTCGTTACGGTAACAAAATGTCGGAGCCTCGAAGGTACGAGTTTTTCTTTCCTTATTTCACGAGTTGTAAGCAGAATTCCCAAGACATTTTTATCATATTTCTAAGAAAATGTACATGTTTATTTGTAGAATGGAACTTCAAAATGGTTAAGATCTGCCCTTCTAACCAGTTCCGTTTGCGTAACAATAGTGAGGTATTAAATCAACGATTCTGTTGTCTTCTGTTGTCTTCTTTTATTCGCAAACATTACGTTTTCTTAAACATATGATACTGACATATGTTTGTGGAAAACATTTTGTGGGAATTCTGCCTACAACAGATGAAATAAGGAAAAAAGAAAAACTATACCTTCGAGGTTCCGACATTTTGTCACCGATACAATCCGTTTCGGTAACCAGCGTAATCGAATGGAGTACCAGTGATAAACAAAGACTTTCTGGAGGGGAAATCTGGGAAATTGTTAAAAAACGATGATATTGTCCAGGAGATGATCAACCAATTAATCTCTGATTTGTTTTATAAATATCTAATTTTAATCTTACTTTTAACATACAATTTCAATATAATATTAACATTGATTGAAGAAGCCCCTTTGATATCATGATATGTTTGTTGTTCATATCTCAAACATTCTTTAGTCCAATGATTATTACAGCATTCACAGATGAAGTTAAAGAAGTCCATGTTTCCAAGTTATGCAGAAAGAAATATTGAGTCATGTAATATACGACACAAGATGAGAGTTTTAATGGCACCGCTTGACTGTTTTATTTGTTTCAATAAAGTGAAAAATAATATTTTGAATGATCCAAGGTGTATTTATTAAATATTTCTTTTCCAGAAACACTTTCCAATTTAGATTCATGTGATAGAGGGTGAGATGTCCAGGGGATGAGTTGTCTAGGGGATGAGTTGTAGGGGATGACTTGTCTAGGGGATGAGTTGTCCAGGGGATGAGTTGTCTAGGGGATGAATTGTCCAGGGGATGAGTTGTCTAGGGGATGAGTTGTCCAGGGATGCGTTGTCTAGGGGATGAGTTGTCCAGGGGATGAGTTGTCTAGGGGATGAATTGTCCAGGGGATGAGTTGTCTAGGGGATGAGTTATCCAGGGATGCGTTGTCTAGGGGATGAATTGTCCGTAAGTCGTTCAGTTTATTAGATAAGAAATGTAATCAAAGGCCAAAGATGTCATTGTAATTTTTTCATTGATTTGGAAACAAATGTTTCTATTGAGGTAAACGAGATTGAAAATACGCATGTCAGTGAATTAAATTCAAAAGCAAACCAAATGTCATAAATGAGGGTTATTAAACGGGAATATATACCTACCCCAGGGGCCGCAGGGATTCAGGGTAGATATATTGTATATTCCCCGAGGGCTATAACGTGTATTCAAAACCGAGCATTGGATAACTGATTTGTCCACTCTTTATTAGAAGAGGAGGGAAACCCCCAGAGCTTTAGAGATAACAGACATAATTACGTCTATTGCTTACCACCTTCGTTTGTTCGAATTCTCACCGGCGAGATTTTAAATACTCGATTCGATCAAGGGCTTATTCAATACCTGGGGCTTAGTTGTGTTCCAAACGAAACGAGAAACGGCGCGACATCCGGGGCTTTGTTTGGTCTTCATTAGACTATAAGTTATTGAATGATTTGAAGTGCAATACAGGATATATTCTGCTCGAGAAATTCCGTATTGGAACGAGACGAAGTCGAGTGCCAATACATAATATCGAGACAGAATATATCCTGTATTGCACTTCAAATCATTCAATAACGTTTTTATCGTGTGATCCGCTGTATTGCTACTGAGATTGTCCCCTCCGTACCAATATTTTCCGTATTGCGACGGAGATGATCAACGGGGACAATCTCAGTAGCAATACAGATTGGTACAGCACAAGAACTGACCAATCAGAAGGCTTCATTTTACAGATCATACGATAAAATGGTGTATTGACCCTATGCACGAGTGACGTCACAAATACACATTTTTCAAGCTCAGTTCAGCTGGCCGTCTAGAAAAGCCCGGGAAAATCAAAAAATCAAATATGACGGGAAGCAAAACAACAACTGTTTCTTCTACTAGGAAATCATCTCAAATATCTAAGTTAGATCATGAAAGTCTGAATCTTAAGTACCACGTACACACATAAAATGTTAATAAGTGTTTTATCATTAGAGGTATGTGAAAAATGTCAGCAGTAAAGTCTGAAAGTGGTGATGCAAATTAGGCATTGTAGATGCCCTCCACTAAATTGTAAATACATGTACCTCCAGCCATATATTTAGCACAAATCAAACCTTTGACAAGTTACTGTTACTGTATATATTGTACATATTAGAGTCTATGAACATTATATTCCCGTCTTGTAATAATTTATTGGAACCATGAAACGTTTGAAAAAATGATGAGGTTTTCATTGATTGATAAGAGGAATAATTAAGACCAGTGTCGAAACTGTCAATTTAAGGATTCTAAAATAAATCTCTCGACTTCATAGATCCAATGTTAGGAAGGACGTGAATCTATTTTCCAGGTTTGAATTAGTAAATATTCTGTATGAAGTGTAACCTCATCAGTTTATACTAGACACTGACTTTATACTGGACTTCAATGTATATTACGAATTGTGTAATTCAATCCGAAATATAACATATTTTATTAAAATGGTACAACTGATTCACATGTATTTGACAGGGCACTGGAAACAAAACCCACCTTGTCTAGAGTAGTAAGCCCAGTTGTTTCATCTGTTTGAAGGAGTGATATTGGTATTTTTGCACTAAGCATTGTGTACTTGCTCCTTACTAAACCAATAACTCTCTCAACGTGTATTCGAACAGAGGCTAATCCTCTGTTAGATTCCACCTCGTACAAACTTAATTGCGATTTTCCTCTTGTGAAAGCTGGGATTTCTACTTTTGCACCATTAAGTCCAACAAGATCTTGTATGTCAAAACCACGGTCTGCAAGTATTAAGTCTCCTGGCTGAAGCTTCTCTAGAAGACCACAATTCATTCAAAACCAATTAATGTTAAAAATGGGTATTTTTCATGTAATTGAAAATAGCTAAAACTAAAATGATTTTTTCTAATTGCTTTATGTATTTTAAAATAAAATGCCTATCTAGATTCGGTCAGCATACTTATTGATCATTCCGGTTGTAAATAACTTTGATAACTCGCGAATAAGTTGTGAATTTCGTGAATTTGTTGATGTAACGGGACAACATGCCCGAGAAAACATGTCATATCTCAGTAATACATGGTCGCATCTTTTCATTTTGGTTCTGTTGGCATAGAAAACATTCAGTCAGAGTGTAATGACAGCAGTGTTTTTGCTTCTCACCTACTACCGATTATATATACCCATTATAATAAATGTAAAATTTATTCTGTGAAAAACGTCACGGTCGTTAAAACAGGCCCAGACGGCAGTAGAGAAACTCGAGATAAATAAATTGTCCGTGGTTATCAAGTCTTTAGTTCAGTTTATTAGACCATTGTGTTACAAATCGTGATAATAGTTGTGATTGAATTATAATGAACATGATCTGAAAAATTCTGAAAAATCACTGTTTTGCTTGTGAAAAACGACCATGATGTTATTCATATATTGACAGTGGTCTTGTTGGAAATGGGACACATTTCAAGAAAACAATGTGTCCACTCCATCATACCATAAAAGGGTTTTCGAAATAATCAGCATTACCCCATCTATGAACTGATATTGTGCGAAACTGTGACAATCGTCACGCGTGAAAAACGCCAAGGTTATAGCATTGGACTCAAAGCAGTAATAAGCCATTTTTATAAATCCCAGATGGATTGGTTTAATTTTATATGATGACCCATATTCTTAAAACACATGTTTAACAATTATTCAGTAATTACGCACAAAGATCAACTCATAGACAAGGAAACGATAACAGCTAACGGATTTGCCCTTTTGTAAATGTGCTTTTTACATTCTATACGTCTTTACAATAAAAAGTAACATGCAAGCAAATGACAGGTTGTTTGCGAATTCCATAAGCATAGTTTATCGGAAAAGTCATAACAAAAAATGTAATATGAAGACCATTAAAGCCCAAAATAGTTGACACTCAGTAAATAACGTTTCGTTCAGTGTATTCCCGGGGATCGCTGAATTCAATCATGAAGTCCCTTAATGTTTGCATCTGTTTTCTTTTCAATGGATGCAATTATTATTAAAGGAGAACAGCATAAACCGTAAACTCTAGTTAAGTAATATAAACGCCTTACAGCTTTCAACGATGTTTTGTGTTATAATTAATTTTTATTTCAATTCTATTTGCACGATCTGTATATGATCTGTAATATTCAACATGCCTTCGCGAAACGCAATTCTTTGGAAAAGAGACAGAGAAAAGCAAAAACTAAGCAATGCCCGAGAATATTAAAGAAAATGTAAGGCAAGCAATACAAAAATACACTCCTCTTTGAAATATATCGCCAACCGACAACAAAAAGAAATCAGAAACACAAAATACACGCTTCGAGAATGGAGGCAACAAAGCGAGATTAATTCTTTCAAGGTTCTCTTTCTCTAAAACAAAACCGGGGTAACGCATTGCACTGAATATTAAACTTCCAGAACTTCAAAGAAAAACTGAAAATCACAGGAAAGAATTGAGTTTATGCTGAGAGTTGTATGATGTGAAAATTTGAAATCTTTAAAAGGGACTTCTGATGCATGATTGAATGCTGATAATGTCATTTTGGATGAACATGTATGGTTGCCCTGCTGTTTGTGGTGCACGCAGGAAAGACTTCACCACCCTGCAGCTGGTCTACACCCATAGTAAAAGTTTCTCAAATTGTAAAAACAAATCAAAGTGTCTTGCCTCATACACTATACGAGATTAAAAGGGAGCTAGGATGATGGGTGCTTGACGACATGGCATTTGCACCATCAATGTAAAATGTAAAAGTGCTGGTTTCTTGAATCAGTGAAAGGTTTTGGTGAAGTTGATTTTAAAAAGATAATGTGGTGGGCACATAGTTATTGAAAATAGAAAAGATGTGCTCAGTACATACAAACTATGATTGCATATGAGTCCACATATGCAACATGTACGTAACTGCTTTTTCCTTGGAGATAGTGAAACACGGCACGATTCTTCTATTCATGCTTTATGTCGAGTTTTGATGGAAAATTAAACACAAATGTGATAATGTAAGACACAAATACAAACTTGTTTATCAATTCAGCTAGCTATAGTCATTAAAAATGCCCATTCGTGAGTTAAGACTTCTCTTAAGTGAACATATAGTTTATTGTCATTTGTTTCCAATTTTCTTGTGAAAATCGACACGCGGGAAAATGGTGAACCAGCATAATGATCAATGCTCCCCAAATATTTTTTTATCATTTTCTATTCGTCTAAAGCATCATTTTTCATGACCGAATCGATTCATGTTCCAATAGGGTCGACCCTTTTCAATTTTACTCAGATTAAAAACACAACGTATGAGAAAATCGAGAAAAATGATGGATTCGGATGTTTCATGTTGACAAGTGATGCACATCAAAAGGGAAATACTTGTAGTCCAAATTCATTTATGATTTTAAAGGACAGTAGAGTAGCATGAGGAAAGTCCTTGGTTTTTTGAAAATGTTGCATTCTAATGTGAATATCTTGGCATATTTATCACGGACTGAAAATGTGAAAATCGTCACGTTTGAGACGGGCCCTAATTTCAATTTAAAATTCCACCAATTGTTCCTTGGAGTTTACTTCAATGCTTTGGGTAACGTGTGTATAAATGAATATAGATACATACTACAGGTCTATTTGAAAAAATAATTTTAATGCTTTTTTGAATTTTTAACAAAATTTGTTTCACACTTTAGCTGTTTTCAGTGAATTATCAGTTAAATGTTTGTCACTAGTTACGTCCTCCTCATTCTGATACTCAGACCATCTCTGCTATGTACAAGAATGCATTCTAGGAGGAAACTGAGAGAAGGCTGTGATATCTCACGATGCGTCCTCCCCAACCTTTGGAAACAAAAGTCACAACGCCTTGGGGTGCAATTGCGATAAGATATTTGATTGTATTGTTCGATTTATAGTGACTATATGTTGTTGCTCGAGCATCAAGGTCCTTTGGCTTTTCAATGAAAATTTCAAAACAGTGATGATACCAGCACACTTACTAAATGCCCCTAAAAACGACCGTGGTAGTGTAGCCCGAAGATTCAATAAGTCATTCGGCCATTTAACAAGTACAAGTACAAGTCTTGCGTTGCAAACATCGATGTGAGAGAATATTCGTGAAACTGTAGATTGATCGATGTTAAAGCAGTATGCTAAATCGTGAGTGCCAAGATTTAGACGAAGTCTCATCAAGGTTAATATGAATTGGGAAGATTTACTCATGGTTGCTCTGGGAACCAGGTGTCCAATTATCATGTTAAGATGAGCCAAAAAGACTGCAAATGTTGGCAACCCGGTATAATATTTCAGTTTGTTTTCGTTATTTCTAAACGTTTCCTCGTTGATTTCTAGGTTTCGAATCTCTTGCTGTAAGTGGTTGTTCTCGGCTTTGAGTGTCTCAATTTCATTTCTTAATGTTTTACAGAGTCTGCTCTTTTCCTTTAATTCCGTGTTTTCACGTTTTAGGTCCATCACTTCTCGCATAATATTTAAGGAATAAATAATGATAGGCCATTCAATATGGTGAAATTCAGCACGAGTTGGACAGAATGTTGTACAAAGCACGAACCGAAGGTGAGTGCATTTGTACTAACATTCTGTCCAAAGAGTGCTGAATTTTACCATATTGAATGGCCTATCATTATTTATTCCGATTCAAACATAAAAATTAGTAAAAGCCGTGTCTGTGGAACGGGCATGAAGGAAGAACTACGCATGCTGTCAAGATTCTGAAGTCGGCCTATCAGCTATCCCCGGACAGAGCCCCAGATGTGCAGCTGAGATGTGACGTCACTCAAAACAATGCAAATTGCAGATTGAATAGAGCATGGTCGTGCATCTATGGAGAATTAGAGAACGTTCTATATTGGCTATGCTGCATTCTGATTGGTTGAGAAATTCGAATAGAGCACGGTCATGTTTGAATATCGAACTCGGAACAAGAAAGGTCGGTCTGTGTACCAACACTCGTATCAGTGAACGTGTCGAATGTTTCACACTTAACAATATTCGTGACTCTGCATCTCTTTGAGGCGTGACGAGTCATATGCATGTAAGCATGTAAATACCCGTGAAAATCAACGTGGCTCACCGACAGTCACATAATATTACTTACATAGGCCCGCTACTTCCCTCGTGTTTAATGATAGCGTTATTAACACAATGCGTGGTATTTGAATGTGCATTATTTACTGATAACTTTATAATTAATAAAATTTTATTTTACTTATTATTTAGAAAACCAGGTCTGTTTCGATTACTACACTGTACCTGACAAGAAATGAGCGCTGCAAATTCGATCGTGTTCTTGGTTCCCAGTTTTGCCCTTTTACGGCATTTATCCATAGCTTTCTTTTTACAGGTGACTTCTTGTCACTCGGAAAGCGATAAAACGTAATGCCGACTTGTTCTCTATTCGAACATTCAACAGCAACGCAGCATTTAGGCATACTCTTTCAACTTTTTCTCATCACTTCGTCGCCATTTTGAGCACTGGTTGCTTATGACGTTTTCTAGACGGCCAGCAATATTTTCTGGCCGGACAAAGGCATGACGTCACACTGATGCATAGGGTCAATAGAGGGGTGGGATTTCTCAGACCTAGGTACCCTTTTCTGTACTGTTTACAGAATAAACAGGGAAATGTACTCGAAGTGGAGATTGTGTTTTCTGTCAGTCAGTATTACCCCCCTTACCCAGCTCTATAGCGCAGTATAAGGTGACCTGATTATGCAAATGAGAAGACCCCGTTGGTTTCTCGTTAGCGCAATCAAAACTGATGCGAACAATCTTCGTTTTAACTGTTGTTTCCGAACGGTTTGTGGCCGAAATTCACTCAACTATAGAAAATATGTTACGTTATAAGGACAGATTGTTTTTACTTACCAATCATCAACATGTGCTGATATATTCAGCTCTGGACTTTATGTCCAGAGGGGGTAAGACACATCGTCAGAAATTTTTTTAAGTTTTCACACCCCTATTTGTTTATTGGCTAATTCAAATCGGATTGGTTAATTAATACGTCAGAAATGAACATAATATCATTATGACCGCCATTTTGTTTGTCGATTTTGACCAATCAGAGACATGGGCCATCTTTGAACTCTGGGGTTAATCACCCCTGACTTTGTGGATTGTGAGGATTAAAAATGCATGAAAATATGCTTATAAACGAAATTCCCGGGGATTCTTGAGCGGAAGATACACCGGGAGATATCAATTATACTTCCGCGTTACTTATAACACTACTAAGTATATCATATACAGTACCCGTTCTTTTGTTGAATTCTTCTATTGGTTCTTCAACAGCGCTATTCATCTCCTGATCAATCTCATTCTCCTCCGAAACATCTTTGCTATTCCGCTGGAATATACATAGGGAAACTTTTACCCCCGCTTTTACCCCGTGCATGTTCCAGATCTTATCCTTCAATATCACTTCGAAAATCCATCACTTCTCATATGTTATTGCACTTTTTATTGTCGTTGTTTTCTGCTGATGGGCATGCGTTTGGACGGACGGATTGGCGAAACAGAAATGTCATCCTATTCCAAAACAGCGGCCATTTTGAATTTTTAGATAAATCTTGTCATCATAGTTGTTCCAAAAACCATCTGATCAACTTGAACTTTTATAGATGCAAGAGCAGACATGGAATGGAATTCATGGAATTCTGGCAAGTTCTTGGAACTCTAAAATCACTTGAACAGAGGGTAAGAAGAAACTTTTTTTCAAGAAAATGTCTGACTTGCTTTAAATGTTTCGATTTATTTCCATGCTATCGAATAGCTAAACACCAGGCAACATGTTACGTTGTGGAGCCACCTAGCCTAAGTAAGTACACTGAAGGATTTATTAAGCGCATTTTAATTTTTTAAGAAATCCATCTTTTGATTGACGAGGCACAGACTGTGAACCTTTTAGCATCAAAAACCTAGAATGATGCAATATAAGTAAAACACTGTTTCCCTATCAACTCAAAAAATCACAAAGATTCCATCATATTTGGAAAATTTATTTCAAAAGAGGGTAACGGTTTTGTGTCACCTTGTAAGAATAAAGCCTAAGATTCAATCATTTAATATATTAAGTAACAAATACCAACCTGTTCATCTTTAAATGGTATTTGTAAGGTCAAACTTGAAGCCTTTTCTACCATTACGAACAGCAGAGGCAGAGCCCTCAGATACATGTTGATGACTGCCAAGTAAAATCAACGGCTTCCAAAATAAATTCAAGTTCAATTAAATATACAATGCGAATGTTTTTATTATTATGCTGAAATTACCCGGCTTTTATTCTTAATATGCCTCTTTCGACAAGACATTATTTTTTAATTAAGAAAAAGCATTTAGGCCAAGCACGAGTTTTGTGTAATCGCTCTCCAAAAGAAAGTGTTTATTCTAATAATTAATATAAAGGTAATTAATGGAATCATTTACTAATTGTTGGAAGTAATGGAGGACTTTTTCGAGCACAACATATGTTTAATATACACATGCTAATAATAAACTCTGCTTCAAAAGATCCGGGTATTATGTAATTTTCAATGTCTGGCGGATTCGCATTTGGTTTGAATACAGCCTTTGTCATTTTGTACTATTTTTGGTCTTAATATTATTCAGGTTATGAAGAAAAAACGTTATTCTGAGCCTTTTAGATGCATTTTAATCAAACCAAACGCATGTCATAACTTTACAAGAAACAAATTAAGTATCAGTTCCCTCAAAATTCTCGTACAAAATAAAAAGGAGCACGTAAGTTATCGCAAACAATTTCAAACGATTCTAACTTGAATTATGAATATTTTCTGATCATCAACATGGGTGTATCTTTTAGATCCATTCACTATCTTCAGGAAAGTATATATAATGATAATTTAGTTAATCAGACCTAAGTGATATTGAAGGGGCAATGGACCAATCAACACACTTTTTCAAAAATCTTGACCTAATCTTCACCAAAAATGCAACCTTTATTATATTGTTGAATGCATAATTAGAATGCGCTTTGAGACATGTTCGATTTCCTAAAAGGAAAAGTTGATTGCCCCAGGGACTTAAAGGATATTGAATTTGGATGACCAAAATGAACTGGAACCAATGGATAGCATGAGATTTTTCAATGGAGAAATAACATTAGGAACACTTATCTTAAAGCAATTAAGTTTTTCTTTCAAGAACTATTTGAAACATCAAAATAAAGAATAGTAATGTATTAAACAGTGTAAAAAATGATTGCATTTTTGGTGAAAATGGGGTCAACATCTTTGAAAACGTGTGTTGATGGGTTGATTGCTAGTTAAATATCTCCGAGTTTATTTGACTTTATTATTACTGTATATAATTTTCTTTGAGATAATGAATTAATCTAAACGATAAACCTGTCTTCATTGTCAGAAAATAGTCATAATCCAAGATATAACCTTCTGAAATTGTTTGCGATAACCTACGTGCTCCTTTACCAAGTTTCCGAAATGTTTCGGAAATGTATTTATCCAAATGCTAGTATCCTGACCTGAATCAGCCAACTATGTTAAATGACAACCTTCCTCTGCATATAGCTGACGAATATGTGAGCAGAATGAGCTCAACCTTACACCTTTGTGTGTTTTATCTATATCACAGTAAATGGAAAATTAATTGGTTTTAAAATTCATGATTATTTTGTAATTATTTTCCCTCCAATCACCTTCTTCCATTTCTTATTTCCCGGCTTTTTTAATGACTTTAATTCTTGCCTTCAAAGTGTCAGTTGATAATTTTGCACTGAACTGTTTGTTTTCAAACTTTGTCCATTCTTCAGGCAGGGGTGGGCAGAGGCTCTGAATCCACAAACTCTTGTCCTTATGCTGTGAAATCAATCCCAGCGGCACGACTCCCAGATTCCTGTATTGGGTGTCCGGGTGGTTTTCAGTTTCCCTTAAAGGGATTTTTGGTCGCGAATTCATTGATTCCTTCCGCGTGAAAAGAAGGCCGTAACTCAGTCTGCTTTTTTTCAATTCTATCAAGTCGTCTCATCAGAGAATCCAGAATGTTTTTGTTATTCTGATTCATTTTATTAGACTGATTGTTCACCTTAATTTAAAAGTTATTTTTCTATTTTTTCATTCTCTGAATTCTGCTTGTATTATGTAACCAAAACTTTGAAATAAACGTTTCCTTACAATATTCCTATTCCTTGAAGAAGTAAAGTTTCTTTATTTTAAAAGTTCAAGGTACTTAATAAATATAGTTGTGCATGGGCTAGAAGTCGGTCAACAAGGCTGGTCAGATGATGGTCATCATCTCATATAGTCTCGCTTATTGCGTAATATGGTGAGATAGAAAGTTTCAGGTCCAGAGAAACAATAATATACAATTGCCCAAATGAATATGTCTCGGTAGACATTATCCCCAAGAGGACATGCTCACAAAATGTACAATCACTCCCCTTTATATCTTTTCATTTGAAACCATGTCAGTGTTTGAATCTAGATTTTGATGACGTATTTGATGACGTATTTAATTCACCGAAGTAAACAGGTTTTGGTAAGTGATCTGGTCGCCAAACCTATGGAGGGCAGTGCAACTAAATGTGAAGATCTTTCACTAAACTGACTTTTCAGAACTTGCAAGAACTTTCTACAATAAGGAAGTTGCTATATAGGTGAATAAAGATGAATAGATAGATGTCAGTACTTGTTTTTAATTGTTTTGGTTGGGTCAGATAGCTATAAGGTTGATTGGTAGAAGATTGCAATAGACACTTATAATTTCATATCTATCAAAAGTGTTGAATGACATACTATAGGATGACCCTGTTGATGTACATATTGCGATTAATCATGAAAATTTGAACGTATAAACCAAGGTTATAAAGAATTTTAACATCTCATCGATGGAGATTTGGCCCAGACGTTTTTTAAAGTTACCAAAGTTATCATAATGGAAAACTTTTAACTAAATTCAAATATGCTATTAAAAAGAAGAAAATGTTAATCATTATAGGTTAATATACAAATCTTAAAATCCCACAATAAAATGAGAATTAGCGAGATTTCTATATGGAAACTTAAGTTCTTTGTACATGTATCATCTGTAAGAGAAAGCATTTCGAGATAAATTCATCCAATTTCCTGAACATTGATTTATTACCTCTGAAAAGTATTTAATTAGACATCATAAAAGATGATTGATAAAGAACAAAATCTTGATGTTAATCTGATTTCTAATTAATTTAACATTTATGTTCATATTTTTCATCTAATGGTGAATTGCGTGTTTTTTATTTATTTAAATGGTGTATGCATCAGTTTAGCATTAGATTCGGAGACAATAAATTGAATCATGTAACTGTACTAATCATCCATTATTATGAATACATAGATAAAAGTTAACAGCATTTTGACTAGAATAAATACTGTTAAATGTCTTTCAATATGTAAAGCTGATTTAGGTCTTAAACTTTTATTTCAATATCTCACTCGCAGAGAAGTAGCATGCCATCGAAATCTGGCTAAGGTATTTGATATTTGGCTTGGAGACATTTGTCATAGTTACTTGAAATTTACAACTTGTCACAAATTACAAAGAAAGAAAGTCGCTCTTTTACACAATTTCTAATCAGTTTATCTTTTTCTGTTTATCAGACAATTAATTTCCTATAATAACTTTTTACGTTGTGAAGCATTACACACACACCAACAACTGACAAACAACTATCAATGAATTCATTGGATGTTTCATGTTATTGACAGAGCTTCTGCAAAAGTGACCATTTTCTTTAAAATGTAAGGTTGCTATTTGCTCCTCCTTATCCTTTTCAAGGTACCATGACAACCACGACAAAAATGTCAAGATATCACAGCTATAATTCCAGGGTGGTCAGTGATGAATATAATACTTCTGCTGCAAAATTAGCTAAATATTTTTTGAACGATTCGTACAAACTTACACTTCCCTCCATGAGTTTGGCAACCCTAACTCCCCCATTTGATTACTGTAAAAAGTCTACTTTAAGGGCTTAAAATATAAATTAGCATCATTTCAAAAACCTCTAATTTTTCTATTTTTTTAACAATAACAATTAGTAGGTCGGATATTGATGACAAATCTATCTATCTATATTGACGCACTCATAACTGAGCTTAAGGAAGCGCATTCAGGTCTTAAGATAGGTTCGTACGTGATATTCCGTGTATTTTGGTGGCAGACGATACTACTCTTCTAGCTTCCTCTGCGCATAATTTGCAAGTTCTGTTAGACATTGTATTTCGCTAGAGTTCAAAATGGCGTATGGTTTACCACGCTGGTGATAACACTAAAAGCTCAATTTTGACATTTAATGAAACAAAGCAACAGTTTTTTCGAAGCAGAGGTAGTCGTCAGTGGCTACTGGGGACTGATATAGTACCTGAAACTCAAAGCACAAACTATGTAGGTAACCTTATCACTACTAACTTTGAAACCGAAAATTGGGTTAACAACTCAAAAAAGAAAATGTACTCAAAATTTTATTCGATCAAAAACACCTTGCGTTTACATAAATTTGGCGCTAATCCACTTGTGTTCATTAGACTATGGTATTCTATTATATTACCCACTGCATTATATGGTTGTGAGTTATGGTACAACTTGTCACCGCATGATGAAGATATACTGAACACTGCTCAAAAACATATATTCAAAGTAGTTCAAGGTTTTGAAGCGAGAACGGCATCAGACGTTGTTCTGGCCACTCTTGGTGCAATATCTGTATCGAGCTTCATTGAGAAATTGAAATTAAACTTTTTGTCAAGATTATGTCGATGCACTCATGAAGTTACAAAATACATATTCCTGTTTAGATTCTCGTCCCTACTCACAAACCCGGGAAACAATCACTTTGGTTTTGCTAAAGACGTCATGAGCATTGACTGTGATATTGCACGGAGTGTTGCAGAAACCTTCTTGCTTAAGCCCGGTATACACCAATGGGGCAAAATCCCACTTGCCCCATCGAGTCCCATCTTGCCCCATCGAATCCCAATTTGCCCCATCGAATCCCACGAAGTCCCATGGGACCTTGATGACTTTGCCCCATCGTGCCCCATGGAGTCCCATCAAGTCCCATGGAGTCCCATCAAATCCCACCGTGTCCCATTGGTGTATGCCGGGCTTCACACAACACGTCATATGATCGAAAATCCCACGATGCCCCATGAAAAGAATGAACATGTTCATTCTCGATGGGACTCCATGGGACTTCGTGGGATTTTGCCCCATCTTGCCCCATCGAGTCCCACCGAGTCCCACGTGGGACTTCATGGGACCTCATGGGACCTCGTGGGACTCGATGGGGCAAGATGGGGCAAAATCCCACGGAGTCCCATGGAGTCCCACGGACTTCATGGGGCAAAATCCCAAAAGGTCCCACGAGGTCCCACGCAATGTTAAGTCTATGGAGGTCCCAACTTGCCCCATTGGTGTATACCGGGCTTTACCGGCTCAATTATGAAAACAGTTTTGTTTAAAAAAACATCGCATTTCCAAATTTTCAACAGAGAGGAAAATAAGTGGCTTTCAAGAATGGAAGCCAATGATAATCTGCATATTTTTAGGAACATTCACTGTAAACTGGAACCAAGCTTCGCCTGGGTCGTTGGAAAACGATACCCATCATATCTATGGCAATTAGCAAACCTGGTGCAGCTTTCTGCAATGCCTTCATATAAGACATTCACATGTAAGAAATGCAACTCATCGTGTAATTGTATAATATTTCATTTTCTGCATTGCAATCAATTTTTATCTGAGAGAGACGCATTTTTTGAGCGACTCATTGATATCTTACCAGTTCAAGATAGTGTTATGCTTTTCAATTTTGATGATGATATTTTCTTACAGACTGTTCTGGGTAGCAGAATAGATTTTGATGTAGCCAATGACACCATTTATGAAATGTTCGTTATCGAATGTGCAAATACATTTTACAATATAAATATGTATTTCAAATAGGTACGCTTGAATTGTAATGATAAAATGTATTTAGAGTCATTTAACTTGTAAATATGTAAATATTAATAACCCCTTACTCTTCTGTAATATATGTTTGTAATGTGATATGCATGTATAAATTGTTTTGCTCTCCAATAAAACGGAGGAAATAAAGAAACATAAACATAAACATAAACATTTGTTTTGATATTGAACCAAGAAAAAATAACTCACATAGAAAAAAGCATTTGAAGTTCAGAGATCATTAGTACTGCATGTACATGCTAAACAAAGTACATGTTTTAAATCACTGTTGATTTGAAAGATGGCGACACTTCTATAAAAAGGAATCAGGTGATACAAACAACTTCGCTATCTTTCAATGACATTGATAAAAACTTGATATATAAAGTTTGACAGATCGAAAATATTTTTTGATCAATCGTTGTAAGCTTTGATAAGGTCCGTTTGAGCTTTTTTTGGTGTCAAATGAAAGATAAGGATCAATACAGTGGACATCCTATAAATTCTTCATTCGATAAAAGTCTTTATTTTGACAAACCGGAACTGATAGATTTGTCGCAAGTCACAAACATATGCCAAACCATTGGAGGGACGAAGTGTTTTATCATGTAGAATTAACAAAGGTGAATGAACTATCTTTAATTTACTTTCCACTCATAACCTCAAATATATGACTAGCGATCACATATCACTATCTCATATTGTGATAAGCAAGTGTATCTACGGGAATAGTGTATAATTTTGAAGAGCTCTCGTATAAGATAAAGGGATGAGAAATACATATTTTTAAGACGCTTGAAACAATATATTCGTAATTATGAAATCTATTTGTGATATACCGTATGTACATGCATATTTTATAAGGCCTCGATGGGTGAATATATAGAATCCTACACAATGATAATACTCAGTAAAGTTCATGTAATTATAATAATATCATTATACGTGTCGTATTGGTATGATGGACATGAAACAATTATTCAGATAGGTACAGGGTGTCCGGAAAGTAAAGATACAAATGCTCTAACTTCAATAGATTTACCTGCTGTGAGATGAAATTGCTACAGATTGTAGAATGACATTTCAACAATATATCCTGTAACTGTCATGACATATAGTTTCAAAATGAAAAAGTTATGGTCGTTATGGTAACAGGAGTTGGGGGTATGTGGAGCAGCGTCACAATTAATTTTATTGTATTTTATAAATCTTTTTCCTATTCATATCATCATGGCACTCAACCCATTTGTTCCTATAAAACATCAAATTATGTCCCACAACAGCATGACGATTAGTACTCTAATATTATTTTATCATTTAACATGACTACTATTATCCGGTATTATGTTTTCCCCGCATTTTCTATATGTTCATGGTGCATCTTAACCAGAGATTCAAAGACCGGACAAAACTGCTGCTGTTTGTCTCCAGATTTCTGATTGCATTCGCTTCCAGTTGTGTCTCATTTGAATACTGAACTTCTAACAAATATCGCTTTGAGATGCTCGTTAAGGTAAAAGTCTAAAGGGGCCTTTTCAGGTAAATATGGGGCATTGTACAAAAAAGTTTAGTGTCAAGACCCATTTTGAGATTTGTTGTTGGCTTTCCTTTGTGAACTGGTGCATTGTGGAGGTGGATTATTGACTTTCCTTATTAACCCAGGGAACTTTTGTTTTAAGCACTTGTATAATATTTCTTTGATTACACTATGACATAACATAGTTCTAACATGTATCATTGACACCATTACACATAAGAGAACATAATAGCAACATCATACAATATTGAAGAAAACAAAACATTGATAGAAAACACAATGATGAACACTCTTTCAAATGGTTATATTTTAGCAATTAATCAGATTTTAGCGATGATCTGGAACTGCTCCACATACCTCTCACCTCCGTAACTATGACAACTGTAACTTTTAACGGTTTAGACTAAATGCGATGAGAGTTGGTAGATACATTGTGATAATGTTCCTCTACAAACTGTAGCAATTTCATTGCAAAACTCCTAAATCTCTTAAAATTAGAGTATTTGTATCTTTACTTTCCGGACACCCTGTATATGTTTTACAAATCTTGATGTGAATAAAACAACTATTTTATATTATTCCTTTCCATATAGAATGTTAGCAATGCCCCCTGTGGCCTTTGGTGGTCTAGGCCCAGTCCTCATTTTGTATACAATCAATGCTAGAACAGCCAGCAATGCAATTAGCACAATTACTCCTATAACAATTCCTGCAGTTTGCCCTCCAGTTGGCGAGCCTTTTAAACCACCGGCTGGAAACAAAATCATTCGTGATCATTTTATAATATCATAAAAATAATAATCTTAACAATTTAATGACATCAAAATACCAATGTTCAATGTACCAATGTTCAATATCAATGTTCAAATAATCTTTTCTTTATTAAAATGCGCCTATTTTTGAATGAAAAAGGACAAAACATTGTTTGAGACATGTCACTCACACAGTCAATCAAATATGATAAAAACTTTAAATTTGGATAATACTGAAGTGAAAAAAAAATTACTTGCATAGAAAACAGCATTTGAAGTTCAGAGATTGAAAAAAGTGAATTACTACTTTTCACAAATAGTGTATGTTTTAAATAACTCTTGGATTAAAAGATAGCGTATGCTTGAAAATCCTGTCAAAAATGAATTGATAATTAATGCAAACAACAATGCCATCTTTCTGTGGCATTGCTAAAAACTTGACATATATAAATTGATAGATCAAAAATATTTTGTCATGATCAGGTGTCAACTCTGATGTGGTCTGTTTGAGCTTTTTTTGGTGTCAAATGAAAGATCGGATACTTATTAATCCATTGGAAATACTATGAAGATCAAAAGTGAGACTTCATTTACGCACTTTGTCCCTTTAACATATTTTAAACTTTGCATTACATGCTGCCAGTTCTCCGTTTTTAAAATGTAATCAAATATCTTCAGCTCGTTCATATAACAATACTAAACGTTATTATTTTACCACTGACCTTACAGTGTAACAGTATAATTGAGATACGCACCTGATGGACCACCAGACACTTGTATACATATAGATGAACGTTTACTGTTACAATTGGATGAGCGATATAGACCATTTTGTCCTATCAAGGTACATTGACCACCTCCAAACAGATTAGGTTGCTGCGACCAGGTTCTAAAAATAAGATTATCAGCAGGATATGACATACATTTCCATAAATACTGACGGAATTTAAAAACTAAACAAATCGAAGAGGAATAATAGTAATTTTGGGATGACATGTTTTTCAATTTGCAATGTTTGTCAACAAAATCGTTACTTTGATAACTTGCAAAAAGTTGATTATATTTTTACCCCGAAACTGTAAGAATGACATCATGACCCATAGTTGACACAATTACTAAATTGAAATTTTACTCAATATATAAATACTTTCAACAACTGAAAAGGTTACACATGCAAACTACACAATTAAACGTTATACTTGTTCTTGTGATTTAAAGTCTAACATACATTAAACTTTCTATGTATTCTGTACCATCAGTCCATCTCCACGGACCCGCATTACCATTCGGAAGATCATTTAACCCTGTCCACCAACCCGGCCATCTTGGATCATCCAACCATATCATTCCGGCTTGATCTCGTACCCATTCCTATAAATGATGGAATAGATTAGAAGTTTAGAAACTGTTCCTAATGAATTTATAAATTACAAGTCCACAAAAAAAGTTTGAAAAGTAATTTCATCAGACAATTTTGTTAAAAAGGTTGACATTTTTCTAAAATGTTTTGAGCACTTTCACCTTCTAAATGAATTTCTTTTGAGATACATTTTCTGAGAAGTATTTCTAAACCCGTTGGTTACTTGCTGATTATTCTTTTTGCTAGTATTTGCTATTTTGCTGTACATTAATTATTACCATATCTTAAAAGTAAACAATCTCACCTTCGAATTCATTTGGTATGACTACAATTAAGCCAAAGTGGTTTAAACATTATTATCAACATTTAATTCCCCACTCACTGATTCATCTGCATTTCCTATAGAGAGGAGGTCTGCACCTGTCATCTGTGCTTGGCAAGCTGTCCTGGAGTCATCCCAGCTAAGTCTAGAATCCGGGTCCTTTGGACCAAACATATAACAATAACCATCTCTCTCACGCCAACCAAATGGACAACTCGAGGTTGGTCCCCCAGCTACAAGTAAAGTATTCTTAATAGATGATCTTTTTTCATGTTGCGTTTCGTGTGTATTTCCTTCTCTGCACTTTTGCTTTAGTACGATGATACATACTTTCCTATATTTAATATAATGAATTAGATGTTCATACTTCAACGTTTTATCTTCACCATAGTGACGAATACTTACTTCCACCAACAGTTTTTTGGCAAATGTATCCAGTCAACCAATTTGCATTACAACTGCTCGTGTGGTATGCACCATTCTTGAAGATCCAAGTACATACACTTATATCATCCCAGTCATTGGGGTCTTCTTCCCAAACACTGAAATTGTTTTATTTGCATCATTTCTAAATATATCATTTTATTGACATAGTGTAATGTTTCGTATCCTTTCATAGGATTGCCTCCCCCCGTTTTTTGATCGGTCCATTTGCTCTCACAATGATTGACTTTTACATTTTCATTCAGAGATATTCAGAGTAAGATTTGTAAGGAAATATTCCAAATAGTACAATTTCCATATAGGCTTTAAGATCTCGCTAAATCTCGTTTTCGTGAGATTTTAAGAGATTTGCATATTAGACCTCTAATAACACACCTCTCCTTCTTTTAAATTGCATATTTGAATTCAATGAAATGTTTTCTCCTATAATAGCTTTGATTTAAACAGTTATATCATTTGAATCATTTTCCATGACATTTAAAAAAAACTTGGGCCAAATCTCCATTGATGCAATGCCAAGATTCTTGGATTTTGGATCTTGGATTTTTTCAACCAACATTTGCATGTTTAATCACAACATGTACATTAACAGGGTCATCACAAGGTGTATCATTTAAGTTTTACACAGATTCAACTAACACTTTTGATAAATTATGAAATTAAGCCACTATTCCAAGATTTTAATATGTAAGTGAATGGCAGTGTAGCCCAAATAAAAAGCTGAATAAAAGCTGGCAGCACTAGAATTCTTTGTTTTTCTGCTATTTAGAAACTATCCTAATATTTAAGAGGGTGAGCTGATAACTGACCGACTATTTAACCGATTGACTTTAAATGTTATCCATTCATATACTTGGAGTGATAATGGAGTTCTATTGTCTTAGCTACTAGGCTTTTGCACTGCAGACATATATTGTACTAGGCTTTTGCACTGCGGACATAATTGTACAAGTGCAATTTTGATAAGATATAAAAATGTTATTACTTGTGATAAAGTATAATTATCATCGTATTCTTGTTAGGCAATAGTAGGAGTATTATGAGTTAACCTTTCCGAGTACTAAATTAATATGATTACAGGAAATGTATTTTTATTGTTGGATATTTACATGTATTCTGGTTTGTATTTAGTGCCATCTACCCACTGCCAACTACCGGAGTTGTCATCTAACCCTACCATAAAGTTGCGCCATCCACCCGTCGTCTTCCACAATAGTCCAACCATTTGTCTGATGTATTCCTTGTTAGAAAAATAAAGAATAAGTTTACACCAAAATGTATTGAACGAAGGATACAATTGTTGCAGAGAGAAAAACACACAAATAGCTGTTCCACAAAGAATAGGCAAATGTGATCTTAGATTACTAGAAATAAACACATGCGATCTTAAACACTGTTATCGTACATCCTGCACAGACAGACAAGTATGATCTTCAACAATAATTATCATAAACATAAACTGAAGTTATGTTATACATTATTTTAAAGTATCAAACACAAACAGGTCAAACGTACCGCCTCATCAGCGTTCCTAAATGTCACTAAATCACCACCAGCTTGTTGACATTCAGTCCTTGCCTCATTGTATGATTTACCATCATCGCCTCCCCTACCAGAGAACTTATAGCAGGAGTTGCCACGTTTCCTCCAGCCCCAACCAGCCTGGTTGCAAGCCGTTATACCTGGAAGAGGAGCGCAGTGTATTTATCGAAAAAAGGCTAAAGGTAAAAAATTGTGAAGAACTCAGACAGAAATTATCCTTTGATAAGGAAACCAATTCGATTTATCCCAAATTAATGATCCTAACGGACAAAAAGGGATACATTTTTGGAAATCGTTATGTTCTTCAATACTATGTACTGTAATGACTTCCACGTGAATGTACACTCCCCTCCATAAGTTTGGCAACCTTAGCTAAGGTTGATAAACTTATGGAGGGGAGTGTATGTAATATCCTGTAGCTGTGGTTTCTCGATGGACCTTTCGATGAAAGTTCATAATTATTTTATAATACAATTTTTTATAATACAGTTTGGTCTTTCTTTTTGTTGCTTCTGTTTACATATTTGCACACAATTGTATTTGGTTCATAGGAATTATTTTAAATACTGCTTTTTAGAAACACATAAATGTGCGATAATTGTAATCAATTGCAATGCATCGTGAATATGTTTTAGAAAGATCGAACAAAATACGAGATAAGTTGTACCATTCCATTTCTTTATAGAGAATTCCCCAAAGCCAGTCACACCAGCCGCCACGAGTTTTGGACCTAGTCTAAATGCCTCAGAGTCATTGTCAATGGTTGCTAGATCAGCTGATGGGTTCTGTGCCTTGCACCACGCAGCATTCGTATCGTGGTCATTCCACTCGGTACCGATAGCATAGCAACTGTTGTCAAGTTGGATTGTGAAACCAGGTGGGCACACTTTAACAAGACAAAATACCATAAGACTTACGATCATATATATATATATATTACGAAATCGTTTTGTATAACTATAAATTCGATGGAATTAGGGTAAATTCAGTCCAATTTATTTTGGTTATACCTAGGACTCTGTAGATCAGTTTTATATAATAAAGCAAAAATTGTCGACACCATAAGTAGTACTATATAGCGCACGTACCTCCGGGGTTGGGCATCTCGCACAAGGGCCTAGCTTTATCACTGCAAGCCTCCCACCACCAACTGTATTTGCTGGGATCTGTGTCCCTTGAATTATAGTTTGTCAGTATTAAGCACTTCCCATTCGTACCACTAACATCGAATGAAGCTGAAATAATTCGACATTGATATTATACGTAATTCATACGGATGAATGATATTCGAATGTGTATCCTTCATACGTTTCTTCAAACGCACTTAAAGCACATTGTATATGAATAATCTCCATGACTACATGATTGTGGATATTTCCTTTATGGATTTTTACTCATGAATTTTGGAACGTCCGTTTGGCTGATATCATTGTTTCAGGAGTAGCTAAGTCTAGAAAAATATGATCACAGTTAAGAAAAAAACTTTTAATATTGATGGTACTCATACAAGCAAGTTCATATCTGCAGATGTACGCATTTTTGCCGGTGCAGCTACCATCATTCATGACGCCATTTTGTAGCATATTCGCACAGTGTTCATTCCCATCAAAATTGTTTGGCTCTTTATTCCACTTGCTACAAAAAGATGTGGACAGAGATTTATAGTTATAATATATATATGCGATCCAGATGTTTTGGAAAAATTCTCTGTAACTTTGTTTTTTAAGATCACACATTGATATTTGAACATAATAAATAAAATGCGATTTGCATTTCTATATTCTAAATTGTCTTTACAGCAAACAAGAAAGATGCAATCATTGTATCTGGTACGTACACGTTATCAAGATTAGCCTTTGACCCGTCCCTCCATTTCCAAGGATGGCATCTTGATTTTTGATCAAGGTCATTCAGTCCGGTCCAGTATACCGTGTAGGTTGCACCGATAGCAAGGGTTTGTTCTATATAGGTCTGGAACACACGCATAAGCACACGCTTGACAATTTAATAGGGAAAAGACCAACGCTTTATACTTGTGAAAAGATGGTTATTGCTGTGGATACCACAATCCCCTGAGTCAAGCGCGGAAAACAAAAAAAACTTTAAAAAGGGCTTATTCGGCTTATAGGTATATACCTTGGTAGCCACATCCTTGATAGTCAGGAGATCAGCACCTGCACCTTGCGATGATTGCTGACAGAACATTCTCGCCTCAGCCCACGTCATCTTGGTATTTGTCTCAATGTAGTAACATGCATTACTTCCCGAGTCAAATTGGTAGGTTGGTGGACACGTGGCAGTGTTTGGTACTGTTAAAATGGCAGCATTATATATATGCCATGTACATAAAAATGGAATTTCTATTCAATGCCTTCTATCAGTTCTACCAAATCTTACTTGTCAAGGCCTCGGACTTAAATATTGTATTCCGTTTCATTAGTTGGCTTACGAACTATTATAGTATATGACATGTACATAAAAGTGGAATTTCTAATTCAATGCCCACTATCAGTTCTACAAAATCTTACTTGTTAAGGCCTCGATATATTGTTTTCCGTTTCATTACGAAGGTCTCGATTAATATTTTCATGTTTTTCAAGTAACTAATTAAATTGTTTCTTACAGTGGCAGATGAATCGCCTTTTAGATAGACAGTCTCTTGCTCGATAGGTTGCGCCATTGTCTCGGATAGATGCGCACAGCATATTACCATTGAAGTTGTTCGGCTCTGTATCCCATACTCTGTGGTCATGAAAGTAATTCAACCTCATTATTACAAGATAGTGACACCCCAGATCAAGTTCAGGAATACATTTTTGCACCGGCAATTATTGTTTGATACATATCTGTATTAAATCGTGTAGATTGATGAATGAAAAGTTTTTGAGAGTTTTTGAGCATTTCAATACGAAATTACATCAAACCAATGGATGAATAATTACTAAATCAATGAATGAATATCAAGTGTCAACGAAACATTTAAAATGTTTCATCTGATATGTAACCTCTCGTTGTATTACTTCATTGTCTTAATTACTTACAGGAAACTTGTATCTGCCAACTGAATCTGTTCATTCCACCTCCAGTTGATCGCATTATCGGAGGGTCCGTTGTTCAGTCCCGTCCACCAGCCAGATTGCTTTTTTGCCAGGATTAACGATAGAGTCTTTACTCTCTCTGTCAGAAATTTCTGAATATAAATATTTATTATACAGTAAAACCTGTGTATATTGAACATTTCTTGCCGAGAAAAAACGTCCAGTGATGATATACTAAGTATGTTCCCTATAGTGAGGGTAATTTATACAGAATTCAGTAGAGTATGTGCGGGGGAGGCCTGTCCTCTAGAGACAGGTGTTCACCAAGACGGGTTTTACTATACATGTTATTATATGAGGAAGGAACAAGTGATAACACAGAGAACAAAATCTTTGAAATCATAAATCTATTAAACACTCATATGATACATTAAGATTAAGATACATTCGCAATATGAGTGATTCATCTTTGTAGACTATTCGGAAACATAGTAGCCCGGACAGAATTGTTCAAGGGTCACTTTTTCTTTAATAACTTTTTTTTAAATTCAGTATTATCAAAAGCTGATTACATATTTGAAAACTAGAGTAAAATTCTGATATACAAAAAATTATTTAAGGTAACATCTCTTAATTTATTGATATAATAGACGTTCATCGTATGACTGACAGAAATACATATTCATAATTTGGGCTCATATTTGCTCAAAATGGCGGCATATTTCGCGAATTTGAATGTTCAGTTGAAGGTTAGTAATATTTAAACATTGTCATAGGCCTATAGGGGCATTCTGCCACCATTACAATCCTGATGTAATACAGCAACTGACCAATCATCAAATACAAGAAGGCAAACTCCCTGCAAGGGTCATGAACCACTCAACTCCATTGAAATGTTTGGGGTTGTGTTCAAGAAGATGTGTAAAGGTGGCGCCCTAATATACGGGGTGTGATGAGAATAGGTCCTCAATCTATTCAAGAGGTCCAAACAGCCACCTCAGAGGCCATTGAAAAGCTGAAGAACAATTCACATGCATGCCAAGGATGAGTTAAGAGGCGTGTGTAGAAAAGACATTAAAACTCTGATAATATGATCCTATAGTTGCACAGGGTAGACGAACTTATCCACAATGGGTAACAGTTTAATGGCAAAAAACGTCCAAGTCCTTACCAATATACTGCGACCGTACCAATAAACTGTACATATAATATATGAACTTTTTGAAGTACTGGTACACATTCGAGTCAATTTAAAACAAAAGGTTTAAATGCAGTCATTACCTCATACCAAAGCAGCAGTCTACATGACTTCATGACTACTTTATGTCATTCCTTAAATATTAACTTTCATATGAACATTCAAATTCACAAACAAGGTAACCATTTTTGAACAAATATGAGACAAAATGGTGAATTATGTATTTGCGTCACTCATACTATGAACGTCTCTGATATCAATAAATTAAGAGATGTTCCTTAAATATTTTTTGGTATGTCAGAATTTTACTGTAGTTTTCAAATATGTAATCAGATTTTGATAATACTGAAACT